AAACAAAGTTACAATCCGGACACGAATTAAGTTGGGACACACTCACAGGACAGGAATTATGTGGCTAGAGGGACAATAGGTAACTGTTCTTTCTCTTTGATGTCATTCATTCCGTAATGCTTTTATGTGGCTATTTTCTTTTGTGTCGCTAAAAAGAACAATAGAGAGAACAAATTAGAGTAGCCACATTATTACTCTCCTGTTAGAACACTTACTTAATGGAGCATTACTAAGAGAGAACTCTTAAAGTTACAGGGGTGGTACATGTATATATATAAATCCATGTAATTAATATGCAATATATATGTAATATATTTGTCAGAATATTAGAATTTTGGACACCACTAAGTCCATTTAAAAAACTTTAAAATATCAGTCTGAACAGAAATATAAAATTGAGCAGTCTGTTAAGACAATTCTTAGTACATGACAGTATACAATAAAGAGAAGATGCATCACTCTGTAAAAATCAAAGGGCTGCAAGCTCTGTGGTATTTTCTGATCTTTGCTATATCTAAATCATACTGACTATCTGTATGTATTTTCCTGTATAAATTTATTTTTATATACTATAATTCATCTTACGCAGCGACTGCGTTTAGATTTTTTTCTATAACAGTTTGAGATTGATACATAATTATGGAATTTTGCATGACTAGAGTTGCATCAAAAAATCATTTTTCATTTTTTATGACAGCCACACTTTATCCTTGCATATCGTGGCTACTTCCTTAAAAAAGACATTTCAAAAAAAAAAATGCCTCGACTAGGATTTGTACCTTAGGCCTCTCACACCCTAAACGAGCGCGCTACCTCTGCACCACGCTGAATTAATACCTATGTAGCTTGAATAAAAACAAATACATTGTAATTCTAAATTGAGAATTTCCGTGTTTGTAACCCTTATTAATTTCGAGGTATTTTGTTCATGATAAACCTGTTGTTTAACACTGATGAAAATAATTTAGAGAAAATCTTCTCGCCAAAACAGTCCGACATGTATATATTCCACTACTCGACAGCCAGATTTATTTGTGTACTACGCTCTGGAGTATTCGGTAATCGACATAGCTAAAAATAGCATTTTCATTGATTAAGCTTTACTGAAATAGCCGAACATTTTTCATTGGGTAAAAAAGATATTCATCCGCGAAATTTGTGATTGTAACCTCATATTTCTATTGACTAATCTAAACTTTTAATGCACTGTAATTCGTTAAATGCCTACATTAAAAATTATTCTTTCTTTTAAATTGCTGGTTTTTAGCAGTTTTGAGTGAGAACTACTTTGCGTTGTTAGGTCTGTTAGGAAATATTGTGTTAGACTGTGGATGTTAGCTATGTATTTACTGATCTTGCGATCAGAAAATACAAAAATAACTCATAGTTATAGGACCAGTGCCCAGCGTTAAATATTATCATTATGAACGGGTGTATGAAATTTCAACCTATATTCCCTTCCCTAGTTTTGGAGATTATAACCAACTTTCACAACAAATTAGTGATTGAAACTAAGGTTGAGCTTCCATTGAAAATTATTAGTCAAGCTAAAACAGCAGTCTGATTACCACTAAATTAGATTTGAAAAAGATTGTAGCTACCAAAATCATCTAAGATTCTGTCTTTTTCATTAATTTCTGTTTAAGTTTATAATCAGATTTAAAATGCTTTGATTAATTCAGGATTTCTTTCAATAAGACTTTTCACAAAGCCTTTAATTAATTAGAACCATTCTGCAAGATTGGCAGTTCAGTCCTCTGGCTAAAAAACAAACAAACAAATGATTTATCAATTGTCAGTATTTATCTGTGTTGACCAATATTAATTTTGTAAGGATTGGCTGTCTAGTTCGACTTTGCACAATTTTCAATCAATCACACGAATAAATTCTATTACAGAAGAATTATTATTTATAACTTTCAACTTTAAGTCTGCCTTTTTGTTCTCTCTTTATGGGCACAGCAATGTCAATTTGAAAGTAATAATAATATTTAGGTAAAAGTAATATATTATGGAACACTGTCTTAATTGCATGTGACAGCATTATAATTTATTAAACTACTCTATTAGTACTTGCCTGGAAGTGGAGATAATGGTCACTAACAAGTATTCAAAGTTTATAATAAAGCAATATCTCAAAGGGTATATAAGAAATAAGTTGGGTGGTACGGTATGTCAAAAACATTACCAAGAATTTGTAAATAATAAAGGGGCATAAATATGCAAACAAGCTAATCAGAGTTATGGGACTTGTGCCAATCATGTCAGATAATCACAGAGAACAATTATTAGAAGTTTCAATCCATTCCCTTCAATAGTTAGAAGATACCAGCTTACACCTAAAAACTTAACACAGGGACGTCAGCAAATGAATTGAATTCTTCAAATAGTCAATTTTTAACATTGGTAAGTACAATATATATATTAGTTTTGTAAGCATGCAGCGTGCTATTTGATTTTTTCTTTTTTTTTTTTTGTTTTTTTTTTTTTTTGGTAAGTTTTTTTACAACCAGCATATTAGCAATGTAATAGTTCAATTATTTACATATATACTGCAGATGACAAAAAGTGCTTGTCATCCATGTTTATAGGTGTGTTTTATTTATCATTTAGCAAAATTCAATTATTGTGTTTTTTCATACCTTGCTGGGAAGCTGCTTCTTCGCTGTTTAAGTTGGTTCCAGTTCATCAAGATGCTTGCAGTTCTAGAATATCACTAAAGAGCTTGACTCTATTTCATACATTATCACTAATTAATAATTTCTAATCAATCAAATGAAAGTCCCACAACTTCAATAACTCGAAATTCCATATGAACATAAATCCAATTACTAATTCCATCTTGGTGAATTTCTTTATTTCCCTCCACATGAATTTCTTTGTACAAATACATTTTCAACTTTCAAATTTTCAAAAAACAGTTAAATTTTCTTAGTAATGCCACAAAAATTTCTTATGCTACACAAAAAAGAAGAAAAAGGAAAAATTCAACAAACAGACTACGAAAGGCAAAACTTAAAAGCCATTAATGATTCACAGATCAATTTCTACTACCAACTGAAACTTTATCTGTAGAACTAAAATAACCTTAAGCCTAATTCGTTATCCAAACCCTTTATGTCATTAAATGTCCTTTAAATTATTAAGTTGCCATAATTAGCTGTATAAAAACCTACGTAATGGTAAAACACATCAAAGATTCCTGATATGATGCAGTATTACATAATTATGCTTTAAATATTTATAACTTCATTTCCTATACTTCTCAGTTTAAGTCTAAATGAGTTTATATGAACATAAATCTAATGATCAACACTTTAAATATTATAATAATACGTTTAAATAATGATTATTGATTCTTTTATCTTATATCTATCTTGTTGTTTTGTTTTGTTTTTTGTTTTTGGTTGGGCAACAACACCAGAGATTTACTGGTGGAGGTAGGCAATAGGTGCCCTTACGTGCATTATTTTAGGGACAAACTGGCACCTAAGTAGAACCATCAACGTTCAGAAAAATAGCAAGCTGGACAGCTTACTCACATTTAAAAGCCCCTGCCAACATCCCTTAAAGGGGCAAGTGATTTGAAGTCAACGACCTTCAGCCACTGATACCGCATGTTTATCTCTATGTCTTATGAATTGAAATATATGATTATGTCTAATTAGTTACTTATTGTGTTTCTGTCTTAGATGAGTTTAATAATTATATTATGTGACTTATTGATTAAAATTTATTGATCAAATGGTTAATCAAATGATCTAAAATATTATATAATACGTTTATAATATTGAATGCATGCATAAATAACAATTAAGTGTTTAGTATTTATATTAAGGTATATTATAGCAAGAAAAAAAACAACAAAAAAACTACCATTACTGTATTTAATTTGTTCATTTTGATTTTACATAATTATTTCTAATTTTCTTAATGTCCATTAATTGTTGTTTTTTGTTGTTGTTTTTGATGATCTACATGAAGTTACACATATATAGTGTTTATTTTAACATTATACATTGGCATACACCTGGCCATTGGCATATTGCACGCACACTTAACTTATAATCATAATAAAACATCATTTATAGATTATTATATGTATATATACATATACCAAATCATTTCATAAAATAATTACAAAATATAATAATATTAACAATTATATTCATCAGACTCCAAATAAAATAAAATCCATTCATGAAACATTCCAAAGTAATTCCTCAATCCTTCAACACTAACTGTACAAACTCCAATATGTTTCATTAGCAGTCTTGTAGGAAATCCTCAATAAATTCTTTTATATCTGTTAACAGATTCCAAATGGAACTTCTCCCAGGATTTTCAGCAATTAACCATTTCCCTTATAAATCACAGAATTTTCACTGGCAGAATGTGCAGAGACCAAACAGCTAAATAAATCTACTTTAGATATTAATTTTAACTAAAATACTTCTTCACCATATATTTTATATTCCTTAAGAAACTTAATACATAAATACAAATCCTCACCCATATATTTAATAGTCTTTAAGAAACTGAAATCATAAATGCTTCCTAAACCATATATTTTATATTCAATAAGAAACTTAATTTGTAAATTATACTTCCTAAACCATATATTTTATATTCAATAAGAAACTTAATTTGTAAATTATACTTCCTAAATCATATATTTTATATTCAATAAGAAACTTAATTTGTAAATTATACTTCCTAAACCATATATTTTATATTCAATAAGAAACTTAATTTGTAAATTATACTTCCTAAATCATATATTTTATATTCAATAAGAAACTTAATTTGTAAATTATACTTCCTAAACCATATATTATATATTCAATAAGAAACTTAATTTGTAAATTATACTTCCTAAACCATATATTTTATATTCAATAAGAAACTTAATTTGTAAATTATACTTCCTAAACCATATATTTTATATTCAATAAGAAACTTAATTTATAAATAATTCCTAAATCATATATTTTATATTCCTTAAGAAACTTAATTTATAAATACTTCCTAAACCATATATTTTATATTTTCTTAAGAAACTTAATTCATAAATACTTCCTCACAATATATTTTATATTTCTTAAGAAACTTAATCTATAAATACTTCCTTACCATAGATCTTATATTCCTTAAGAAGTTCAATTTATAAATACTTCCTAAACCATATATTTTATATTCTTTAAGAAACTTAATCTATAAATAATTCCTTACCATATATCTTATATTCCTTAAGAATTTAATTTATAAATACTTCCTAAACCATATATTTTATATTCAATAAGAAACTTAATTTATAAATTCTTCATAAATCATATATTTTATATTCCTTAGGAAACTTAATTTATAAATACTTCCTAAACCATATATTTTATATTCAATAAGAAACTTAATTTATAAATACTTCCTAAACCATATATTTTATATTCCTTAAGAAACTTAATTCATAAATACTTCCTCACCATATATTGTATATTCAATAAGAAACTAAATTTTTTAATACTTGCTACCAACCATATATTTTATATTCCTTAAGAAACTTAATTCATAAATTGTAACTTCCTAACCATAATTATTATATTCCTTAAGAAATTTAATTCCATTGAAGTTACTATTATTTACATGTCTTAAAATCATCAAAGATTTTATCAGAATTCAACTTTACAAGCTATAAATTCTCCAAAAATAAAGAGAAATAAAATGTTAAAATTTAATATGAATTCTCTCATCAGATGTATTTAAATTTTCTTCAATGAAATTCTTCTACATTATAAAGCACGTATAACTGGAGATCAAGCACTGTTTATCTTTTTAGGTTCAAACTTTTATCATAAATCATTCTTTAAAAAAAAAACTCCTAACAATTTTCAGTACCGCGCCCACAATTCAAATAAACTTTTATCAAAATTAAATAATGATGCAAATTAAAAAAAAAACACTCTACACTCTACAATCTTTCCTTGTTCTTGATTTATTTTACAACTAAAATTTATCAAAAACTTTCACACTTAAACACAAAATTTCTTTTAAAAAAATCAAACAAAAAAATCCCCAACAAAATGAACATGATAAATTCCAAAAACTTTCTTAAGTTAAATTATATCGATTTTGTAAGGACTATTCAATTTATAAATCCAAAAAATCACTGTCTCTGAAGAAGAATCTTTTCTTGCAATATACTGTCAATCTGAGACAACCTCTTACTATCAATAATTCACAAAAATATCCAATTCTTTAAGCCAGTGATCTATAGATCTTACACAATTGTCAACAACAACAACAACAACACATACAAGTTCAAGATGACTCTCTACTAAATATACATATATAATATATAAGGAATTAAGCACGCCAGCAGACTGTCATCATAAAATAATGTGATTCAGTGCTCAACGATCAATTTTCTGCAAATTATTGGTTAATATTGTTGATGACGCAAGGAAAAAAAAAACAACAGCAAAAGGTTGTTCAACCCTAAATTAATGAGCACATTACTGAGAAAGTCTTTATGGCTCAACAAGGACTAAGACAGAAACAAAGATTTTTGTGAATTTTAAGAATTATGCCTCAGAAACAAATTTTAGTTTTTCTTTCTTTAGAAAAGGCGGACATTTTAAGGTTTTGTTATGCTTAAATATTAGAGCATTTACACTCTTAATTATCACCAGAAGAAAGAAGTGCTAAATGTAAAATAATATCTCTCATAAATACAATAAACTATGAACAAAGTAGTATTTTGACTTATATCATACAAAATACCAAATTAATATAAATTTACTACTTGCTCAAAAAGCAACAGAAGTAAAACATGGTTTCAAGTAATTTGACCAATAAGTCACTTTTTGGAAACTCATAACAGGACATACACCAAAATAAAAATAAAACTTTTATGAAAGAAAATTGAAACCCTTTCTGAGGCATCATGGGCATTTTAATATTGACTGTGCTATTTCAGGAGAAAGTTTTGACAAGATTAAGTCCCCTTGATCACTATTAAAGGATCACCAACAACAGAGTGTTACCTAAAATTCAGCCAAAATTAATCTTGCCTATAACATAATAACAACCTCTAAAATGCTCCAAGAAAATAGAAGAAATATGATAAATATCTAAGAAATATCTTAGAAATTCAAATGAGTGACAATTATATTCACAATGATTTATAATCCCTTGCAGACTATTATCATTTTTTCCTATTTCAAGAATATAAAATATATGAAAACAGTTTAGTCACTATCCATACAATATAGCACATGTTAATTTGATCAGTACATCCATACATACAAGGAAAGAAACTTTTCTAAAAATATACATTAGAACAACAGATGGCCAAGGCTGACAGCCAATTCTGTTTGTTGTCTGCTTTCAGTTGAAATCACTTACGCTGACTAAAAGATATATATCAATGTGGAAATATCCTTCACCTAATTAATTAAACCCACAGATCAATATTGTTTCTGCTGTAATGTTATTGTTTACTATATTATACATTTACTTTGTGTAGTTTGTACAAACTGAGACATTATAAGTTGAAACAAGAGGGATCAGAGATCACACGTGTGACCGGACCTCATGATAGCCAACAACTGAATGGTGGGAGACACAAACATCATTTACAGGGCAAAAATGCATTTTTCTTTATTCAAGGGCTATATTTAGTCAGCCAAAAATTCAACCGGAAAACCGT